TTCCAGTATAAGTCTTCCTTAAATTATTTATCCCTTTGATGCACAAAAACATCATCTTCCTTAAATTATTTACTCCTTTGATGCGCAAAAGCATAAGTTCCTTTAAATTGTTGATTGACTAGGCGGTTTGCAGTAGCAACACTCCAATGATTTAAAAAAATATGGGTACCCGTGGGTACCCGTTATCCGTCCCGTACGGGTAACGGGTACCCATTAACCTGTACGGGTTTGGGACATGGGATGGAGTTTTCTCTCCAAATGGGAATGGGTACCCGTTTCAAACGGGACGGGTACCTAGTCCCATCCCGTTGCCCACCCCTACTTGAGGCAATGGACCACATGCCAAGGTATTCAAAATACCTCAAGGGGCTTCTCTCCAAGAAGCCGAAGTTCGATGACCTCGCCAATGTCACCCTAGGGGAGGAGTGCTCATCCTTCATCCTCAACAGGTTGCCCAAGAAGCAACCCGATCCAGGTAGTTTCACCATGCCTCTTCGCATCATTTCTCATCACATAGAAAATTCCTTGGCGGACTTAGGTGAATTTTGGTGAATGAATGATTGAATGATGTTTGCATGAGCTTAGTTGAGCCTTGGTGGGCATGATTAGATTAGAATTGCTATTATTTGTGGAATTTTCCCACCAAGTGATAATTTGTGAATGAATGTGCAATTTTTATGCTTGAGTGGTGGATGGTAACAACCGTGGCATGATTCGGGTTTAATTTTAGTGTGGATAATCCGTGAAACACCTATAACCAACCCTCGGTGTGCTTGTGCTTAATTGTTTTGAATAGTATGGGCTCGTAGTGGAAATATAAGTGTGTGTGTGGGGGGGGGGATCCTTTTTCCTCCCAATGAGCTGAGATTGACAGTTATTTCCACGTATGGTGCATGTTTGTCGGTTTTGAAGGATATTTAACTTGGAGAACGAGTACATTAGCTAATTGGTGAACCATGAATCATTCGGAGCCAAGTTTGCCTATCAGCGGCATAGTCCTATTGGACCGTATTGGAGGCTAGACTTGGACATGTTTAACATGTTCAGGTGTCGAGCCGCGATGTTAGGGGTCGCCTGTCACCCCTAGTGGCGCCAGCTGCTGTTAATGGATGAGCTCTGCGTAGAGTTCTACTCCACCTTCTCCCACATCGTCCCGACGAGCAAGAAGAGTCGGCCCCACGTGGAGTTCATGCTTGGAGGTCAGTCGTGCGTGCTGACTTACGACACCTTCGCCCAGTCCATGGGGCTGGACACCACTTATATGACTATGACAGAGGGCAGTACACCATCGATTTCAACTATCAGGCCGCATTCTAGGCCGTATGCCGCCCCGAGCATGAGTAGGAGGAGTTTGAGGCTGACCGCACCAATGCGGTGAAGCTGCAAACCCCGTGGAGGATCTTGATTCATGCATACTCTGCTGGCCCGGACCATCGTCCCCAGCTTACAGTCGGGCCATCTGATCACGAACAGAGGGCTGCTTGCCCTCCACTCTATGAGGCATCATGCAGAGTCGCTCCACCTGGGATCGTTGATTTCCACCACTTTCACCCGGTGTCTGGGACAGAACAGGGGTGGATACCATGCACATGGTGAGCATCATCGCTAGGCTGGCCTGATACTTTCATGTAGATGTGGAGAGGTGCTCCATCGTTGGTCGGACCGAGCCATTCCCAGTGGAGACTCTCTACAACATGAATCCGGTGCTTCAAGGAGAGCGAGGGATAAAGTACCTCAACGAGCTTCGACCCTCAGCGGCTATGAGGCCAGTAGTTGACCTGGCTCCAGTGGAGTCGGATGTAGAGGTTCCACCTCCAGAGCAGTCACCTGCTCGAGCTCTCGGCCATCGCTGGCGTCCCACGCTCCAGCACCCTGCGCCAGCACCACTAGCATCCACAACATCAGGTGTCGTCCTTCCACTTCCGCGGTGCCCCTCGTGTAGACGTTGGACTGCCTTGAGACCCACGTTGTGGGAGTCACTTCCCAGCTCGACCGACACACCAACCTGCTAGAGCAGATTGCTCGTCTCCAAGGCCTCCTTGTAGATGATGAGCCGGGGTGTTCGACCCAGTGAGAGGTAGCTGACGAGTGAGACATGTGCCAGAGCAGATTCCTTTCGCCCCACTTCTCCACTTGGAAATCTGAACTCTTTTATGTTATTTTCTTTCTTTTATTTGGTATGTGTGAACAACTACTAGTATCGTATTGTTATGTGTAATAACCTTGCCTCGAGCGAGTATGTGTGTGTTTTTGTCTTCTCCTGGAAGCTCAAATCTCCTACCCCGGACAAATTCCAACTTTCACTCATCAAGCAAACCGGTAAAATCTATCTACCCTTATCTTACGCCATTGAGGGCAATGTCGAACTTAAGTGTGGGGGTGGGGTGGGGTGGGGGGTAGCTTATTATTATGCTTGTGTGAGTGTGATTGATGCTTGGAGCCTTGATGTATGCCAAATTTGAAAATTTTGAGGGCTCTAAGCAATGTTTACATGATCAAAGTGGCCGGTTTGTAGGAGAATCTCGTGTTTATTGGCATTGACCTTGAATTGCTGCATGTGATCGAGTGTGTCCTATGATGATGACTAAGAGGTGCATTAGGATAGTGCAAAAGTTTAGTTCTCATGTGTACAAAAATGAATGGATGTCTTGACTCGATTACTTGTTGATTACAATTGCTATGCATTGTGTTTTGTGTATTGGAATGGATGATTGGGTAACAAGGCAGCCATGTGAGTTTTGAGCCGATCGTTTTCTTCTTGTGTGCTTAGATTCCTCTTACCATGGAGAGTAATATCACAGTTGTTACTAGTGAGTATGATGGAGGCATAGGATTAGTCAACGCCTAAATGTTGATTGTCCCGAAATGTTTTATCCCCTAGTCAACCCCTTTGAGCCTTATGACTTTGGGGGTCGTTCTCTAGTAGGAGGTTTTTGCTTGTGAGCTTAATGGTGTTTGATAGAATGACCCCCTATACTTTCTTCGTGTCTATACGTGATTCGTCCTTGTGTCCTGGAGCTCTCGCTTTTGAGTTCCATTGAGGTTCTACATAGGAGGATTATGTGCGGTTCTTGCTAGGAATAAAAGAGAAAAGAGTAGTGTTGGAGTGAGTTCTTAAAAGAGAGCATTGGTTGTTAAATATAACGTGACAAGTGTTTTTCTCTCTAGTACCCCCTCAAAAAGAAAAAGAAAAGGAAAAGAGAAAAAGAAAGAAAAGGGAAGTAGAAAGAAAAATAATAGAAAAAGAGGTAATAAAATGGGGGTAAATAAAGTAGAGAGTGTCACAAAAGAATTAAAGAGTATGCTCTATGAGGGATTTTTTGGCACTCAAGCCATTGAAACCCCCACATTGTTGTTGAGCTCCTTCACTACCAAGTCGAAATGTAATAGCAAGAGTATACCAGAAGAGCGCTTAAAGGTAGTTCATGATGGGTGATAGTTTGGAAGGGAGAAACAAGGTTTTTGGCCGATGCTAGTGGCTATTGTTTGTAGGGAAGGTTCTTAGTCGAAACCATAGAACCTTTGGGTTTAGGTTGAAGATTTAGGACCTCTTGTTGTGTTTACCACCAGCCAAAAAGGCTTATCCCCATGTCCAAGTCAATTGCCAGTCATTTGAACCCGTAACTAAGACCTCCGGACAAGATAGTGATGAAAACCGTCCCGTGAACTCTAACATTTAGAGGTTGCCGCTGTGGTAAAGAGACGATAAACCGAGTTGATGATCTTGCACATTTTTTACACCAAAAAGGTCCCGACCCCACTGATCAAGAGAGTGAGTGATTCATTCTTGTTTTGCATGTCATATCATACCCCGATGAGGACCTTTGTTGTGCATTTGTTCATTCCTCGGACTTGAATGTTATGCATGGTTAGTTGTGGTTGGTAAGTGATCTTGTTGATACTTGCATTGATTCATGAACAAGGTGAGAACTTTTCGTTTGCCTGTATTTGTTGACCTCGAATGGCGTTTGTGGTGGATGTCGGTATTGCTTGCAACGGTCCATGTGTTAATTGACAATAGCCAATAAGTATCGCCACTTGTTTCCCTTTGATTTGTCCCTAAATCATTTTGTTAGGTTGAGATATTACCTTGTGTGAAATGGTTTGCTTGGGGACAAGCAAACGTCTAAGTGTGGGGAGTGATTCGGGCCTAATTGTACATTTTTTTATCCCCGTTTCTCTTTGACGTTTGTGGCAATTGAGCTCCAAAAGGGGTGGCTTTACGCTAGGTTTCTTTTCTTTCAATGTGTTTCAAAGTCTGATAGGTGAAACCAACCACGGATTCGAAATTGGGAAGAAAAGGAGCAAAGACTAGGAAAAGAGGAGGATTCAGCTAATGTTCACGGTACAACATTGGAGTTCACGGTCGCCAGGACCATGAACTGGAACCACAATTCGTGAAAAACGAAGCGCCTAGAGGGGTTTCTAAGGTTACTGACGCCAAGGCAGTTCACGGTCACTAAGACCTTGAACTGTAACCACAAACCATGAACTCCAAATGTGAAGCGATGCATTTTGATACAACTCACTGAGTTCACGGCTGTGAACTGGGCACGATCTGGGTGTAACACCCCAAATTTTGGGTTCAGGTTCGACCAAAATACGTGAACAGTTGGTTTAACGAGTATGTACGAAGAGTTGCAACCGGGGGTTAGGAATGATAGTATAATAATAATAATAATAATAACTATTATTATTATTATTATTATTATTATTATTATAAAAGGGCCAAAGAGGGCCGAGCCCTCATTAACCAATTCCCCACGATCCCTCTCTTCCCCCCAGCAGCAATTGCCGCAAAAATAAACCCCATCGCCGTCCACTTCTTTCGTTTGCGCGGGTTGATTTAGAAATCCCCGCCGCCGCATCCTCCACCGTGGCTCCGGCCTCACGAGCTTTTCTGACAACGGAGATGAGGCGCAAGATGCCGCTTTGACACTTGCACTTCTTGATCTGTTTCAGGCTCTAACCGTCGCCTTGGTGTTGATGGGAATAAACCAATGCTGCTTATGGTCAGGCGCCTGCTCGACCCCGTCATCAAATCCTCTCCAAGCCATCACCGCTGCCTCGTCACTGGGAAACCCTTCTTCAAATCGAGAAGATCTCCAGCTGCAGCCATCAAGCAAGCTTCTTCCTCCTCCCCGCGCGATGGCTTGGGGATCTACTGCAGAATGCACCGCCAGTTTTCAGTCAAAAAGCTCGACAGCTACGCCTTACTGTTCGCACTGAAATCAGCGGTCACTATGAAAGACCCACTCATCGTTTGCCACTTCCACGCCCATGTCGTCAGGGGTATGCGAGGTTCGGGGACGTCGATAAGGTGCTGGACATGTTTGAAGAGATGTCGGAGAGGAATGTTGAGTCTTGGTCTGCTATGATAACTACTTTTGTTCATAGTGGGCGTTGGGCAGAAGGTTTGTTTCTGTTTCGTGAGATGATGATGGCGGGGAATGATGGACCGATGATTATGCCGGATAAGATAACTTTGTCGACTATTTTATCTTGTTGCGCCCAAATGGGTTGTCCTGGATCAGTACTTGGGAGATCGGTTCATGGTTATTTGTTGAAGATGAATGGGGAAATTGACAACGTTCTTGTGGACATGTATGCCAAGTGTGGAGTTTTCAAGTATGCTTGCCTTGTTTTTTTTCTACAATGAAGGAAAAGAACGTCATAGCATGGACTGCATTGATAAGTGGAGCAGCTAGGCATGGATGTAGTGAAAAAGCATTATCATTGTTCGAGATGATGAAAGAAGAAGGCTTCCGACCAAATGAGATGACTTTCACAGGTGTTTTTCATGCTTGTGCTCACACGGGAATGGTGGGAGCCGGGCAAAGGTACTTCAACATGATTGAAGAGTATGGTTTGGAGTATAAGATACAGCACTATGGGTGCATGGTCGACATTTATGGCCGAGCAATTATACAACAATCATTGGACAAAATCGGGCACCAAAGGGGTTTGATGGGTCTGGTACTTGGATACGGGATAAAGAGGGTATCATGGTGTCCTCGTTAGCAAGCCCTTGAAATGATACAAAGGAAATAGGATTTTCAGGGAGACCTAATCGAGGTAAACAAATAATTCCCTACCCACGTTAATTATAGAAATTCATGGGTTGGATAATGATATGACAGCTTGTGGAGTCAGTACTATCAGCTAAGCATTTTGGCAGGAGGCATGAATAAGTTCAAGGGAGGGAGATGGTTAATTCGAGTCAATCTACTTTAGGTATTAAGGTGAGTGTAAAGGGGGTAAATTCTACGCCTTACGGTTTTTCAAGTATTTGCTTTGAGTATTTTTAGGTATTGATTTACGTGATGTGCGTGCCGTATTTGATTCATGGTTGATATTACATGATTATGTTCGATTATTGGTGCTTTGCTTGAGCTATGATTTGAGGTGATTCTGTGCTATTTACCTTAAAGCGTTATGTTATGAGTTATTGTTAAAGTTTAAGAAACAAGGTCTTTTTAAGAAGTAATTCACCTTCAAGAAGGTGAAGTCGTTTTAAGTGTTTTTAGTCGCTAGCGCCAGTCATTTGCCATTTGAGATTTTCAGATAGAGCAGCAGTTATGCTCTTGAGATCTTTGAGACAGAGCAGCAGTTATGCTCTTGAGACTTTTAAGATGAGCAGCAGTTATGCTCTTGAGAATCGTGGTGAAGAGCCACCACGATAAGTTTAAGATGTTAGGGGGATGAATCGTTACGACTTCCCTAACTAAGTTTAAGTTTTAGGAAAGCCTAGATGGCTTCTCATACGTATGAGTTGGCAACCGGACTAGCTAGTGAGGGATCCCAGTGTCGGTCAAGTATTTAAGTCAAGCTTGAGATTTAAGAATGGAGTAACATTAACTCCAATATAGTTTTAAGAGTTAAGCTTTTTAACAGTGGAAATACAAAACAATTTCCACTCAGTTAAGTAAAGTGATCAAGTATTAGTAAGATGTTAAACGTAAGGGCGTAGACTTACCCCATCTCACTCACTAGTTTGAAGAGGACTAAGAGGAGTTAGAGAGAAGCGAGTTCGAGAGGAGCAGTTCGAGGGCAGCCGGCTAGAGGAGGGAAGTACAAACGCCACTGAGGATGTCTGGTCAAGGCTTTCAGGAAGCAGTAGCATTAGAGACTTTTTAGTTTTTCGGTTTATGATTATGAGTATAGTCTGGAGATCATTTTGAGATTTTAAGGTTTTAGTTTGCCCAAGTGTCAAGCTTTGTGTTTAAGTAATGACAGTTGTTTTTGGTATTTATTAAAGTTATTTATGAAATGTTTCCGCTATTTTTCTAAGTATTTTCAGTTCTTATCTTATTTCTCGGTTTATTGAGGGTATTTTGGTAAAATTAGTACCCGGCCGGGTTAGGGTGTTTCACTGGGTTTAAATGGACAACTGAAAGGAAGAAGAAGGGAGAGCCCAAAGTGCGAGAAACCTTCTTCTTTTTGAAACCCTAGAGAGAGAAAGTCAGGAACCAAGAGGGAGAAGAGGATAGGGTTTGCTCCAAATGATGATTTTGCAAGTTCATCTTCTTTGGAGGATCTCTACAAGCACAAGGAGAAATGGAGGCATCACAATGATGGTTTTTTTCTTCTTCTTTTGTGTTCTTCCTTTGTCTAGCATGGAGTAGTTTCCCTTTTCACTTGTGTGTTATAGAACACAAACTACTATTATGTAATTGATTGTGGGGATTGAATGATTGTATGATGGTGGTGTTTAATTTAAGAATTGAGGTAGTTTTCATGGTGATTGTGCTTTGTGTGTGCTTGGCAATCTATTGTGCTATTCTATCCCAGATTAGAGAGAAGCCCCATTATCTTAAGAGGCTCTAATTGAGATGGGTTTTCTTGGGCATTCCATGCCTCCTAACTAGGTTAATGAAGGGCAAACCTCTACTTGAATTAGACACGTAGGTTAATTGTGATTATGCCGTCCAAGCCTTGGCTTGAGGGAGAAGGTAAGTCAATCCTCAATTGCTTGTGCCAAGAGGGATGCAATTGTAGCCTCTAATGCTTAACTTGGCCTAGAAATTGAGAGGATGGTTTCTAACCATTGTTGCGTCTCCTACGGGTCACAATTGCCTTGTGACACACCGGTTCATTCGATCCCATGGTTCATGGTAGTTAGTTAGGGGGAAGAAACACCTGAGTGAAGCCTCTGACAAAGAGTTTTCCACCCATTTACTTTTCAAAGTCTTGCTTTTAAATCGTAGATTGTAGAGATTTCAATAAACAAGAATGCGCTAGATAATGTTTCAAACAATCGAAGTAGTGGTACATGGGCCGGCCCAGGTTGATATTTAAACATACTTGCCCTATATTGCACCCATCTAAGGTTTATACTTGGGCCTTAGGTGAGATTTTATTGTGATAGTCGGAGCAAGTTATATATCAAAGCTAATAAGTACGTAAATAAAAATGTTAGAATAAAATCCTAGACTATACAGATTTTATCATTTCATACTTTAGTCCTCAGAACTTTCTTAGGACAACACCCTCCACAAACTAGTGTTGTTTTGATATGGGCTTTCTGCCCAATTCACAAAGATAGGGCTAGCATTTTCTATTTCTTGTCCTTACATGATACGACAGCTAGATTGAGTCGCAGTAATGTATATAAATGTATGTTTCGAAACTTTATACAGTAAGATGAATAATAAGAGTTGTACTATTTGTCCGTGGAGTAGTCATGATCACACTGATCAATAAAACCACATAAATCTACTTCTTGTTTCATTTTTGTTAAGATTTCGCTGTTGCATTCTTTCAATTATCATGGTATAAGAGCCTAGCTCGATGGAGTCCGACCGTATTGTGACAGATTCACGCGTTGGGAACTTGAAACAACTAGAACTAAAAGAAACTGAAAATACTGGTTTGTTCTTCTTCAATCCATCAAACTTAGAGATAAAGTACATATTTATAGGAGAAATCTCATAACACTTTCCCTCTCAAATATGGTAAACTAATCCTAATCCGACTCCTACACGATTACTTCCCGAACAAGAATAATAATAATCCAAAAACCCAAAATAAACCAGAAGAATATCCAATATAAACATAATAATAATTATAGTAAAAAGGACCCATCGCCACCCCTCCATCGGAAGCCGCCTTCAACTTCTCACAGGCCGAAATCAGATCGATGGTTCTCCTTAATTCCTCCCTTCAAACCACTGCTCCATCGACTTCCCCTGGTCCGCACGCAGCTGCCACATCTGTGTGAGTAGTGCTAATCCGACCGGAAGCTTGTCACCGTTACAGTCCATCTAAGCTTGGTCAGCCTGTCCTTGCTGTAGTTGATCGTTGCTGGTCTGGAGATCAGTGTCGTTGCGTTCCATCAGGACTTGAAGATCGGTCTATCCTTGTTGATATGTTCGGTATTACCTTAGAGCTGGTCTAGAGCCTCTTCCGCAACGCGTAGGCGGCGGTCGGTGTTGTCCGCCCTCACCTAATCTCCGCCAGCTTGCGACCTGGCTGTACGCCCTTGTCATCGGCGACTTCCTGCGAAGAATGCATGTTCTTCTTCGGCGGCATGGTTCATGACTTTGTCAAAACCGGGATGTGATACCAATTGATGAGTGACAAGTTCACGCGTAGGGAACTTGAAACAACTAGAACTAAAAGAGACTGAAAATACTGGTTTATTCTTCTTCGATCCATCAAACGTAGAAGCAAAGCACATATTTATAGGAGAAACCCCATAACCCTTTCACTCTCAAATACTGTAAACTAATCATAATCCGACTCCTACACTATTACTTTCCGAACAAGAATAATAATATTCCGAAATAACCCAAAATTGGCATGGGATGGAACTGTTCTTGCTCGATATTCAGTCAAGCAAGTATGGGCTTCCATTCGGGTCCTTAGCCCGACTGTGTCATGGTTTTCTGTTGTATGGACCAAGCCAATTTTCCCAAAACACTGTGTGCTACTCTGGTTAGTAATATTGGACAGAGTTAGAACAAAGAAAAATTTGGAAAGCTGGGGATTTAATTGTGATGTTGTATGTGTGTTCTGCCCTGGGGGTATAGAGACTCATGATCATTTATTTAATGGTTTCCCTTTTAGTAGGGCTATGTTGAGGGATATTTTGCAGGGAGTATGTTGTTTCCCTGATTTTGCAGATTGGGGTGCTCACCTCACATGGGCAGAGACCGCTTGGAGTCTTCCTACTGATGCAGCAGTAGTTGGGAGAGTCCTGTGGATTATGGGCATCAACAAGCTTTGGAAGGAGCGCTGTGCAAGAGTGCATGGTGAAACGGTGGCAATTTCTCCAGCTCAAGTAGTGAAGAAGGTGAAGAGTGAATTCTCAATATTTGCCAGTAGCCAGGCCACGTTCTAGTTGAAGGTGCAGAAAGTTCTCGGAGATATAGTATAGAATGATGGTTTTATAATAGTTTTCTAATTTAGGTTACACATTGTAAAAGAACAAGTACACTTGTTGAGAAGGAGGATGAGAGTTGCACATCCTCGGGCTTCAATGCAATGTTTGATTAACCATCAATTTTTTTTCTTCCAAAATTAAGATGATAATATTTATAGCAAAAAGGACCCGACATCTCGGCCGCGTGAATGCATCATATTTCTATACATCTCAACTACAATACTTTTGCATTATGAGAGTTTCTGTTCCGAGTTTTTGTTGAAGGTCAATGTCTCTATGGAATTCTAGATGGTTCGATAAACCGGCGGTTCCTCCGGCATCTAAAGAGGAATCGACCAAGTGGCTTCAAAGTGATGTTAGGGTTCGGTCACAGATATTAAAATCACTTAATCCTTCAATTTTTTTATATCTTCGTCATCTATCTACAACCGCCTTTATGTGGAAATCCCTTTCTGACACCTATGCTACCACCAGCTCGACACGTCAATTTGAATTCGAGGTTGAGCTGGCAATTCTTCAACAAGAAGACATGGATTTTTCTACGTATTTTAACGCAACATGTCTTCTTTGGACTAAACAAGACTTGTTGAGCGCTGCAATGATGCCTTGAGTTGGCTCGGTCGAAATTCAGTAGGAGAAAAATAGGATTTGCCTCATACAGTTGCTAATGCGACTGCGCCTGGAGTTCGAGTTGGTTCGATCGACCTTACTCCACTATGAGAACCTCACCTTGGACAGAGTAATGGGTTATCTTGTTCGTGAAGAAACTCATCTACGTACAGAATCAATTTTGTACTCACGACCTGGTGCTGGTGATGCTATGATTTTCGTTGCTATGATAGGTAAATTTCAGAGCTTTCTCTCCTATGTTGGACCTGACTCTTACCGCTACTTCTTTTGTTTGGACAGAGGGAACTCGGGGTGCTCCTAATCAGTCTCAAGAATTTTTTGCGTATCGTCTACCGAATCAGCATCGTGACATGGAATGTCATCATTGCTATGAAAAGGGACATACACAGTAATTTTGTTGCAAATGCAATTGTATGTTTATTGCAAGAAGCTTGAGCATATAATATCTAATTGCAAGGCTCTTCAAAATCGAATAACAGGGATGATGGATGGACACAGCTCTAGACGAGCTCTAGTCACAACATCAACCATTGTATTTATTTATACATCACTTTATCAATCAAAGTTTCAACCCATCACATTCCATAATTGCACATCATATCATTCATTCACATCCTCATTATGTCATCCATCACATCATATAGGCAATTTATTCATCACATTATACGAATATCTTTAATCCCATCTTTCGTAATCATATTCATCGTATCTAGGCCGCTTCATGACCCGAATACCATACTCATATTAATATGGTTAATAGGTTAGAATTCATTCACAGTTTGATCGCTAATCCACAAGTTCTTTGCAATTTGCGGACTCACTGGCTTGCTCCTTTCCTTTAAGTACCAAAATAAACAAATCATTTAATGCACCGTGGCACATAGAAAGTCCATACATACATAATCGGATTAAAGTTCCACAATGGTTCAACAAAAACACGAGATTTTGGGCAAAAATGGGTAATACACGGCCTGACCCTGAGTTTGCACGACCATAAATTTTCATTGTTTGACCGTGTAAACTTCCGACCTCTCCCTGGAAACTCTACACGGTGCGTGGTCATTTACGCAACCTATGTAACTTACCCCCTTTCACTGTTTTGGCCATTTCTCCCTCAATTCTTAACCAAATCGATTCTTTTTCTTACTCAAACTAGATTCATAACACTACAACATATCCAAATTTCATATCAGTTGGAGCTGTGGGTTGGAGTCGACACTCAATTCAAGTTGAGGGTCACAAAACCCGATTATGCACAAATGACCTATTTTATACCTACGGATTTCAATTTAATTGCACATCAAATGACTCTAAAAATTGCCATATTTTGTACATATATACCTCATATCATAAGGAGCATATTTAAGAATAACAATTTCCAAAATGTATCCATTTTCCTATTTGAATCCCACCTCAATCATAACCTTCTCAAAACAACCATAGAACCAAAATTTCCTCTAATAACGTCAAACCTTCTTTCTTTGATTACTAACATGTTTACTCTATGTAGTAAACAATATTTATAGAGCTCTAGCTTCCTGTTCTCTTTCAATCATCAATTTCTGTTTTCCCGTTCAGATTTCTCCAACTAGAGGAGGAAGGAGGAGGATGAGTCTTACCCCTTTTTCTCGACTCTCTTGTTTCCTAGCTTCCATTCTTGCATTACCTCTCTTGGATTTCACTCTTGAATGATGATAAATGATTGTGGACATACGGAGATGGTGGTGGCGGTTTGGATAGAAAGAAAGAAGAAATGAAAGGAAGATGAAATGGGAGATGAGAAGGAATGGGGGAGAGGGGCAGATTTTTGCCCCTTCCAACAATCTTTAGAACTCTCTCCAATCCATACCCAACAAATGGAACCCATTAAATTAAGACAAAATACACCTGCATAGCCACAACATTGACATTTGTGACACTTATAGTCTAATTTCAAAAATTACACACGTATAGCCAGATTTTGGGTTTTGTTTGACAATTATAGCCATTCTGTCACACGTCGTTAGTGATGCTGACTAGACTAACGATTTATGCTTATGTCGCAATCTTTTTTACTTTGCCACCTGTCAGCCATGTCATATTTGTCAATACATTTGTATAGCCAAAACTTTGATACTAGTGACTAATATAGCCATTTTTTCAAAATTAAAAATCCCACTTCTTGAAATCCCTCCTTCCCACACCAAAATCTCATCGTCCTCTTAACCAAATTCATTCGTACCTTACCCCCTAAATGACCAATTTCACCGGTGACGCTATCAAATACTCGCTCTTCGAGCATCCTATTTCTTCATCGCCGAGAAACGCGCTACTGATGATTCAGAGCAGATATGTGTCATACTGCTTACGTCTTTAGCGAGCCAATTTCGGGTGGACTCCGGTTTGGAGAGACGAAGAGCAATAAGACTTCACTCTTAATCGAAGAGGGAATTGCCTTTGTTCAATGAAGAATCAAACCAGAAATAGAGGTTGGAACCGAAAAACGAAGAGATCAAATTGAGATATTTTAGAGATTTTAAAGGCTCGTTGGAGTGTATTAAACAAAATTTAAGGAATACAACTACACCGAAGCTTCAAAAGTAATAGGAGTACATAGATGGGGAAACGATGCCAATGAATTAGGTTAAGACGGAGATGAGATTCAGGGTGGAATTTTGAATTTTGAAAAAGTGGCTATATTAGTCATTAATATCAAAGTTTTGGCTGTATGAATGTATTAACAGATATGACGTGGCTGACAGGTGACATAGTTAAGAGAAAAAATGGCACGTCAGCATAAATCATTAGTCCAGTCAGCATTACTAATGGTGTTACAGAATGCCTATATTTGTCAAACGAAATTTCAAATATGGTTACACGATTGTTTTTTTCAATCTGGCTACAAGTGTCACATACATCAAACTTGTGGCTATGCGAGTGATTTCTTGCCTTAAATTAATGGGATTTTTCCAATAATAGCACCTTTAAAAAAAATTACAAAAATAGCACCCATATAAAAAAAATTACAAAACTAGCACCTTATTTTTTGGAACGCACCCCTAAGATGCGTTTTAAATGTAAAACGCACCAAACAGATGCGATCTACATGTAAAACGCATCAGAGGGGTGCAATCCATAATATAAAACGCACCAAACAGATGCGATTTGAGGAGGACGCGGAACGATCTTCAAGATCGTCGGATTGAGGGACGATCCAATGGCTCAGCGCATGCCAGCGGAGCGATCCATGCCGAGGATCCTAGATCGCACGCCAGCGGAGCAATCCGCGCCGAGGAATCCCAGATCGCACGCCAGCGGAGCAATCCACAATGACCCACTTTCTCTGTTTGGATATCGGTACACCATACAATCAACTCTTCTCGTGCCATCCATGCAAGTAACGTTAGTGCACATTTGATGGAGGTCTTCAAGCAGCGGTCTGGTAGCGACCTTTATCTTCTGAAAATTGCCACCTACGTAGGTGGCACCCTTTCCGGTCTCTTCCGTGTAACCATTCCACCGTAAGCCAAGCGTGAACTTTTGGAATGCCATCTGCGATAAAACCGTAGTTAAGTTAATATCATAAAAATCAAAAATAAAAAATAACAATAAAAAGTAATACTAAATCAACTTACGAGTTAACGTTAATCGCAAAACTACTAAAGAAATATGTAATACTAAATCAACTTACGAGTTAACGTTAATCGCAAAACTACTAAAGAAATATAGAGCTACATCAACTTACGAGTTAATGTGAATCGCAACACTACTAAAGAAATATAGAGCTACATCAACTTACGAGTAAACGTTAATCGCAAAACTACTAAAGAAATATAGAGCTACATCAACTTACGAGTAAACGTTAATCGCAAAACTACTAAAGAAATATAGAGCTACAACAGAAAATTGAAAAGGGAAGGGAGAAGGAGAGGTGTGAAGAGAAGTGGTTGTCCGGGAGGCTATTTATAGGCAAAATCAATGATGAAAACCGCACCTTAGAGGTGCTATTTTTGTCTGCCATGCATGGCATGTCGGAAATTGATTGACCAAAACCGCACCTTCAAGGTGCGGTTTGTACGTTAAAATCGCATCCCCATGGTGCGATTTAGTCTGGCAGAAACAAATCGCATCTCGGCCATGCGATTTTAATAGGTCAGACCTAAAATCGCACCTCGGCCATGTGATTTCAGTAGGTCAGAGATAAATCGCTTGGCTAAAGTGCGATTTGAGTCCAGATAATGGGAACGCACCTTACCAGTGCGATCTATTTGTAAAACGCATTCTTAGGATGCGATTTATATGTAAAACGCATCTACAAGGTGCGTTCTATTAAAAAGGGTGCTATTAGTGTAAATTTTTACGGATGGGTGCTATTTTTGTAATTTTTTTTAAATGTGCTATTTCTGGAAAAATCCCTAAATTAATTGCCATTACACTCTGGGCAAATTTTTATTTTTAATCATATTGGATCAATCGCATTTGAAAACTCATGTTACATAATTTGCATGCTTATATCATCATTTACTAAAAAATGAAGAGACTTTCTTTAAAAGAAAGTGTTTATGTTTAATGTTGTAAAAGTAAAAAAGAAATTGTTTTTATTTTTCGTTAAATTGAGAGAGAAAAACCTTTCTAATTTTTTGTTTTGATAAATTGAAGAAATCATAATCCTACTCCAACTTGCTTAGGGAGATAGAATTCAAAAATTTATCCTCCAATAATATATGGTAGAGTTTTGTGTACTTTTTTGCATTTAAAATTTCTTGCAATGAGAGTGAAAATAGAAAGGACATTTTTGTCTTTATAAAAAATTATTGATTTCATATAAAAATTTTCAATATCAGGATTTGAACTCAGGTCTCTTCAAACAAAAACAACAATAATAACCAATTACACTAAACAAATTTGTTGTATTTTTTTAGTACAAAACATATGCGAAGTTAAACTCTGAAAACCGGAAAACTTTTCCATCATGATTAGAAAGTCCACTAAGTCTACTGTATGTATTTTTATGGTAATTGATATTTCAATTTTCATAGTAGATTTTCAGGTAATTTTCTCTATTTTAAAATTCTTGCTCTCATTAATTTTTTTTCTAAAGATAAATTGATAATTGGCTTACATGTAAGAAACTATTTCTATTACTACATGTTGTGTCCTTGCATTTTTAAATTTAAATGTTTGTGCTTCTTTATCTTTGTTCTTATCTCTTTCTAACTTCCTCCGAAATTTCCTCCATCGTGCAATAGTGATACGATCCAAATCCGAAGAGAACCCTCGAACTCGGATGATATGACCAAAGTACGCAGCCTTCCTTGTTTTTAAGGATTTGCGAAGCTTTTCTCCAACTTGAACAACTTGAAATAAAAGATAGATACGGAATCAATCGGACAATCCCAACTTGTGACAAAGGGTAATTGGTATATTCAACCAATCAGACAGGATCAACTCGTGGAAAGAGGCAATTGATATAGGGTAGATGCTCGCCACAACTAGACGCGTTCTCTAGTTGATAAAAGACACGCACAATCTCATGGAATCCTCGAGAGAAGTCTTGCACAAACGTTCACGAAGGAACACGAGTAAAAACTCTTTAATTGATAACTTGAATATTTGTGGTACAAAATTCGTAGCCCTTACACCCTCTATTTATAGAGATCACAAAAACATATAACTAACCTAAAAGGAATAGGAAAACAAATCCCAAACTAACTAGGAAACATAATACTACTTAAATAAGGACTATAACTCGTTTTTGAAACCAAAAGAAGCTCCTTAGAAGCTAAGATTCTCCAAACACATTTTTAATACATAAGGAAGCTCCTTAGTGGTTAAGCAATCTCTTTCCTTGTCCTTTTCATACTTGAACGCCTTGGGCAGCAAGGATGGACGTTTTGGGCTCCAAGAAATGTTGTAGGACGGATCCTTAAAGCATTCTCCATTTTATCCATCAAGTATGCTCCCAGTTGATCCTTACATCGTTGAATTCGAACCATCATTTTGGACCACGAGAATTGAATATCGCGCTAGTAGATATCACATCATTCCCTCTCTCTTGAAGAAGATTCGACCTCGAATCTTTGTAGAATCTTGATCGCTCATAAGCCCTCGTCTTCTTTGTCTTTGAACTAAATTGACTTGGTAGAGATGATTGTATCATTCCCCCCTTCTTACAGACAATTTGTCCACGAATTATAGACATTCCATTTTTGTGAACACCTTCCACATAGCTTTGCAATTCTCGTCAATTTTCCTTGCGTGCTCCCTCTTCAAAAATTGCATCGCCAACCACGAAATCAATATGATCATATTCTGGAACAATTGATGTATCCCCCAGAATTTTCATGCATTCATCTCCGCCTTTGAATTCTTATTCCTCAATGTATTGCTTAACTTCTTGCGCACTCAAATCTGGAACATCAACTAAAATATATCTTTTTACTTCTTCTGCCTCTTCTTCGACTTTCTCCTCTACTTCAAGTTTTGGTTCTTCTCGAGATGAAATCAAAGCTTGTGAATCCTCTTCACAAGTTACTATAGTAAGCCCATCAACAAGAACCTCTTCTTTCTCTTCCACGTATTCTTTGACTTCCTCTTCTACTTTGGCTTGTAACTCTCTCTCCTTCTTCAAATTCTGCTGCATTTGAAGTTGATCCTCATAGTTTTCTTTGAGAGATAAAGGCTTTAATATGAACTTATGACCTCTATGCGACCACTTGTACTTGTTGATGATTCCATCTTGTTGTCAATTTCGATCAAATTGCCATGGTCTTCCAAGCAAAACATGAGCCTCTTCCATTGGCACCACATCACAAAGGACTTCATCTTTATATCTTCCAATCTCAAACTTCAATATGGCTTGCTTGGTGACCTCACTTGATCCATCTTCATTAAGCCATTGAAGAGTGTAGGGTTTCAGATGTTGCAATGTGTTTAACCCCAATTTCTTCACCGAATATTCACTCACTAGATTAGTGCAACTCTCTCCATCAATCACAACTGTTAGTAGCTTACCATCCACTAAGAATCTTGTTTGAAATTTATTCTCCCTTTGCTTGAGATCTTGCTTTGGATTTGGATTCCCTATCCTCAAAGGAGTTTCGGGTTGGATTACCATTGCTGGCGCATTATTCCCCTTTAACCCTTGAAGAATAACTTCTGTCGTCTTGAGCATTTGCTTCATCATCTCCGTCACTCATTGATTGTGCTCCATTCCTGATTTTCAAAGGCTTCAAACAATATTTTGTTTTGCCGTTGAGTTTGAACCGGGTTCTTGATACCACTTGATACGATCCAAATCTGAAGAGAACCCTCGAACTCGGATGATATGACCAAAGTACGCAACCTTCCTTCTTTTGAAGGATTTGCGAAGCTTTTCTCCAACTTGAACAACTTGAAATAGAAGATAGATACGGAATCAATCGGATACTCCCAACTCGTGACAAAGGGAAATTGGTATATTAAACCAATCGGACATAATCAACTTGTGAAAAGGGCCAATTGATATAGGGTAGATGCTCGCCACAACTAGACGCGTTCTCTAGTTGATAAGAGACACGCACAATCTGATTGAAGGAGATGTGTTGGATCTGATTGATAGCGGCTATTGTGTTTGGCGGGGATAGGCGTGATCAACGGCGGCGGCGAGAGCTGGAACTCACTCCACAAAGGGCGGATCTATTGAAGTCGGTTATGAGGAATCGTCTGTACTTGTTGATTGCGGAACCCGTCAACATTGCTTCAACTATTAATGCTAGATCTCCCATAAATATAGGTATCTTTGGGGGTTTATTGATCCATTATGCCGCATTTGCTTTGTAGAATTCGTCAAAGTTATGGTCGTTGGTTTTGTTCGAATTAGGGATGAAGGATCCTTTTTTCGTGTCAGGTCTCCTTGTCATTAATGCTAGAAGGATGATGATGGATTCCAAATCCCAATCAAAACTTCTCCACAAGTCAAACCATCAGCAGAGCTATTGTGAAGGGTTGGCGAAGAGCTTTGCTTGTCAATTACACACTTCCAACAAATCTTAGTTTTAAGGTATAGATTAATCTTGCTTCGCTTGTTTGATTTAATAGATGTCTCTTGAGCAATTTCATTTCTGAAGTTCTGGGCGTGTGTGGATTCGAATGATGTTACTCACCCGGAGGGTTTGTGTTTGATTCAGGCATAGAGTAGGGCTGGTAGGATTCAAAATTGGTAACTTTCCCTTCTTCCAATCTTCTCTATTATTTTCTCCCTTTTGCTGGTTTGCAAGATAGCTACGATATGTTTTCATGTAACAGGTCTTGATAATTCCAATTCGTGTTTCCTTATTCTTTGACCAATATAGGTCAAATGAAAAGGTTTCGTTGGAATGAAGTGATAGGAATTCAATCTTGTTGTCCTAATAATCTCTATTTCCCTTTCAACTTACAACAATGTAACTTCCCAACATAAGAGAGATGGCCACCACGTGTTAGCCGCCTAGCCCTCATCCATTGGTAAAGAATTAGGAGGATGTTACGGTGATGTGATGTAGGGATGGCGATTTTAGACTTTTCTCGTAAAAGGAATAAAACGCAAAGACTCAAAGGAAATAACTAAGGAAATAGCAAATAAAGAACAAAAGCTAACTATTGGGTTCCAATCTTCTTATCATTAAACGAACGAAACAAGTACAAATTTATAGGCACAAAGCCTCTACCTTTACCTATCTAGATTATAACTCCTAAACCTCTAAGGATATTACCAACAAATAACCAAATACTACTTAAACAAGGAAAACACTAATTAAGCCAATAATAATAAAGACCCAATAATACCAAATACGAACTAATAATAAAATACTAAAGATACGCAAGCCCAGTCTCCTACGAAATGCTACGATGGCCGGATCTCGTAACATCCCTCCCCCTTAAAAGAACCTTGTCCCCAAGGTTCGTGAGATAACCACACCCACTTCAACCGGGATCAATGAAGAAGAATCGCTCCCATGTATTGATGACAGCAAAGAGAGTGAGTGCCTGTCGATCTCGTTTACGACGCTTCCAATTACGTTCCGGGACTTGAACGAATTCCCTATCATTGTTGTGGACTCCAGCTTCTTTCACCTTCTTACGTATTGGATGGAAGTTCCACTCAACTCCCTCGTTCCAACGGCGCTCACCATGCATCCCTCCAGCCTGCCAACCATGCATGAGATAATAATTCACCACATCCCCATTCATACGCTCCCTCTGCATGGAATTATGAGAACTAGTCAAATAATCATCTTTTAAACCCATC